CATAACACACAAGCTGATGAGACCTCAGGGTTCCCTTTGAGGTCTTGACCCGTATCTTCAGTAGGTACCGCTTGGTCTGAACTGTTACTTGCATCCCGCCAACTCCATGGACTATAAGGGTTACATCTTCACTCCTTAAGTCTAGCTCGCTTGCAGCCTCATGGGTAATATAATTGGTATCGGATGCCAAGTCTATCAAAGTTCCAATCTTTTGCCCAGCGTTGGCAGTGACCTCAAGGATCATCATTATGACTGGAAACTCCTTAAGGTCATCTTCCACTAACAACCCCTGCTCAGAGACGGCTGAGCTAAATGTCCTTGAGACAGAGTTGCAGAACACATTCCGGCACCGCTGGGCTAAATCAGGGGGCAAGCTTGTTAGAAACTCCTCCTGACTTTCAGTATATCTTTTCCCTTCAGCTCTTGCTGGACTGGGCCCCAACCGCTTTGAGCCTTCTCCCTTGCTTCCAACTTTGGGACAGAGGTAGTAGTGATGACCTGGGCCTTGAGCATCCTTACACCCCTCATTTTTGCACAGGAAGGTGGTCCTACACTCTGCATCACCATCGTGAATCTCAAGGCACCTCACACAAGTGCCGAGCTTCTTAATGGCCTCCTTTTTCTCCCCTACTCGAAGCGTTTTAAATTTCCTGCAGTAGTACAATTTCTTCCTGTGACCCCTTTCTCCACAGACAACGCAAGATGTTTGAGAGCCTAACGAGTTGGTGGCTTTAGTCCGGGCGTGCTTTTGTGGGATCTTTATCTCTCTCTTACTAAAATCATCATCCCTTAATTGGTCCAACTGCTCATAAATCTTTTCCTGACTTCTCAGGAACTTAAGGAGCATGTCAAACCTGCCTTCAGGTGATGCCGCCTCCTCTTCTCCTGCTGAATAGACCAACCATTCCTTTTTTAAGTTTTCAGGCAGTTTACTCTCTAAGGATTTCGTGACAAGAGGATTCCTCAAAGCACCCGTATTTCCCAACTCACTAAGGTCATACAAGGCCTTTTCAACAACCTGTATCATGTCCACGATCTTCCGTGGCTGGTGGCCTCTCACTGGAGGCAGAGCCTGCAGTTCCTCTACAATCTCCAAGGCAATTGCTGATTTATTTCCAAACCGATTTGCAAGAACCCGAAATATTTCATCAGCTGTTCCATAAGTTGACAGGCGGAGTTCTCTTGCCACCCTTTCCTCAAGACTGTCCAAAAGCTGAAACTTCCTCACCTCCTTGGACCCAGTGGGTTCTCCTTGCTTTTGCAGTGCTTCCCATTCCTTTTTCCAGAGGTAGAAGTTTCGCCTATTTCCATCAAACCGAGGGAGTGCTGTTGGCCTCAGCTTAATAGCTGGAGGCGGGGGCAGGGCTACATCTGGGGACCTATCATGTTCCAACTTCGCCTGTAATAGGTCAGCTTTCCCCGAAATCAACTCAGGCAACAAACTTTCTATGTCCCTCATGCGCTGCTGAAAGTCAGGCCGCTCTGCGTCTGAGATCCAGCGACTCCATCGGAAGATCGCTTCTTTCGCTGCCTTCACCAGCCCCTCAAGGTGATTAAGCATCAATTCATACACCTCTAACTTCAGACCAGGCTGACTCATCGATAGGCGCTTACACTCCTTTTCAGCAGCTTCCAATGCCACAGTCAGTTCAGAGTTGCCAAAATTTTCCCATAGGATCTTCTGAACGAGTTCCTCTACATCATCAAGTTTTTGTTCACACTCCTCCACTGTCCTTTTGATGTCAGTTCTCTGTTTGTCCTCCTCTGCTACCCTGCTGGTGTCACCTCTCGTGCTTTCTTCAGGGGTGAGCGCGTGCTCCAACTCCTCTAACCAGGCAATTTCCACCTCCTCGTTTGCCTCCAAGACTTTATCAGCTTCCAGCACAACCTTATTAAAGGCTTCCATCAATTCATCAGCCAACATTTTCTTGCAAAACTTCATTACGGAGTTTGCTAGTCGGGAAAACCGCTGTTTGGCAGTCGTTCGCTCTGTCTTTAATTGCTTTAGAGGCTTCGACTCAGCCATTCTAGGGTCTGGTGAACTTTAAACGGAAAGTACTGGACTTGCCTCGGCAGGTTATTAAACAGGAGCTTTAAGTGGGTGAGCTTGGTAGGAGCTGCAGTGGATGGACTTTGCCAGAGCTGTAGTGGGCAAGCCTAGTTGAAGCTTCTAAACCAGCTAAGCGGTTTTTCACTGTCAAGTGATTTTGGTTCTTTCTGTGCTTCACCCCTCACTTGAAAAGGGCGTACCGAAAATGAACGTGTGACTGGGTTCACTCAGAATAACCAGGCCTTTTTGGCTCTTTATCCCTTTTTTATTTTATCTTCACTTTTCTTGAGCCAGGCATTTACAGGCATCTACAGCCATCTACAGGCATCTACAGGTGAAAAACCTTGAAACAAGAAACACCAATCTTATAAACAAGCGCAAAGATTTACATTAAATGCATATACACAAAATACCAAATATACAATAAGTAACCAATCCCAGCTTTAAATTTCCCCGACATTTACATAACTCGTTCTGAATGAAATTCATCCAAACATCAGAGTTCAAAATTAAACTACTGGAGAAATGCATGAATCAGTTTCACAACACAATGAATTACAATAAAAGCTAATCAATTAAACAAAAGATATGACACTTCTGCCCATATGAATTATTAAAAGAAAGGTTCGCCCCTAATACTCTTTTAGCAATTAAATGTTTAATTCCTTTAGATAACTACATGTAAAAATAGAAACCCTCCCTTTTAAACCATATTAATGCAAACATCTGAAAATCAATGAAACAGTATTCCACACATTGAAATTAGGATACTTAAAGCACACCATTTAGCAAATTGGATCACCATTTCAAGAAAATACCAAACGAATCAATAGTACGCTCCATGAACAAATCACACAATGCTACGAGCTAGCACTGGCACCTCAATCCCTCATTAGCGCATACCATTTAGCACATAAAACCACTCGTAACAGGGAGTGCTTGCTACAAATAGCATTTTTACAAAGACTGCACCAAGCGTGGTTCTCAGTCTTACCGGCTGTCCGTTCAGAGTCTGATTTTCAGTACACAATTATAGCACAGTCCCAGGAGTACTTGGTGTGGATCCGACCTCTTTGCTTGTCGCGCCACAATGCCGTTTTTGCCGGCTTTGTCTCAAAATGGAGGACAGGTGCGACCGTCACTGTCTTCCTCCCGGGTGCACACAGGTAAGTAATTATTAGTTCCGCATGACCACCTGCGCGAATGACATTCGCCGCAACACCTCCCACTCAACCTTTTTCGTTCTCGAACAAAAAGGTTGGAGAACATCAGCCAAATATAGACCCTAAAAGAGTTCAGTGTCCTGCTCTTCCACAGGCAACAGGACTACAAGTCGCCGGACGTCCCTGCGTAATAAAACCCCAGTAGGCCTCTCCTTCCCGCCTCCAGAAGCTAAGTGCTGGATTACAGGCTTCTGATGCTGGACCGACACACAGGCCCCAGGTACAACAAGAACTTCAACATCTCTCACGATGCCCTTCGAATCCGGTGCCACAGAGACGACTCGGCCAAGCCTAAATTGACCTCGCAGGGAGTTTTGATCACAAAGCCAAACGACGTCTCCCACAGTAACATTCCTTTCTGCGGTATGCCATTTAGCTCTAATGAAGAGGTTCGGCCCAGCAAGCTGGCACCATGCTTTCCAAAAGGCATCAACTTGGCTTTGAATCTCCCTGAGGCGCTTGTAGGGGTAGTTGTTGAAATTGAAGGACCCGAAGTCCCCACTGTGAGATGCTCGGCCTAGGAGGAGCGTATTAGGTGTCACATACTGGATACGACCCTCTCGACTTTGGACTCTTGCATCGATAGGCCTCTCGTTAGCCAGGTTCGCCGCCAGATGGAGGGCCGTGAGGAACTCATTGAAGGTAAGATTTGCTGACTTGCCCAGCTCTTGAAGAGCTCTCTTGGTAATTCTCACAGCCGCTTCAGCAGCCCCATTTCGATGTGGTGAGTCAGCAGGGAACACCTCCCAGGACCAGCTTGTCCCATTCTTTACAGCGTACTCCTCTAAGCTCAGTATATTTTGGCTCTGCAAGAAGGCATACAGATCCACTAGCAAGGCCCTCGTACCAATGAAATTGGTCCCAGGATCTGACCAAACCTTAAAGGGATGGCCCCTGATGGTTGTGAATCTTTGGTAGGACATTAAGAAGCTTTCTGTAGACAAGCTGCTGGCCAGATCTACATATAAAGCGCGGCTTGCCATGCAGCAGAAGATAACCCCCCAGACCTTCATGGACACTCTTCTTTTCACATCATCCTTCACCAGGTACGGGCCGAACAAATCAATAGTCGTAAACTGGAAAGGAGCGGCAGGTCTTGACCTCTCTACTGGAAGGTCACCCATCACTTGCTGGCACACTCGAGCTCTTACCTTTCTGCAAAGGATGCACTGGTTGACGATCCTTTGGGCCAACCTCCTTCCTTGCACAACCCAAGCCTTTTGCCGCATCCTAAGCAGTGTTCCAGCAACCCCCTCATGTCCCTGCTGATGACTTTGACGTGCTAGTAGTGTCCCTAGCCAAGTGTCAAAGGGCAGCAGTGGAACAGCCGAGTAGTCTTCTCTAAAATGCTGAATTCTGCCCCCACACAGCAACAGTCCACTAGTTTCATCCCTATACACCACCAACCGATCCGTTGTGGTGGTAGGGAAAGTAACTCCTTCTTGAGCTGACAGACAGAGGTCTCGGAAAGCGTCTTCTCTCTCGGCCACAGTAACAATGCCCGTCAATAGAACTGCCTCCCACTTTGGATTTCCGGTGGCTTTGGCATGAAGAAACTTCTTTGCCGCCCTCCAGACCATNTGATTATTGGTCGCTATTTTGGTACATTAAACCACATTAAGCGTTTTCACATTAAGCGTTTTAGAATGTCCCCACACCGATCGATAACATTTGCTACTTTTAGAATGGCCCATTCTCATTTGACATGGATGATCGACGATCCTGTGTCCGGGGCGCCGGGCCAGTTTTGATTAGGCCCTACGGGTGTTACGGTTGAAAATTGGGAAAAAATTAAATTCGACTTTTCAAAAATTCAAAATTTGTCATTTGAAAAATTTCGTCAATGACGAGAGTGACGAGCGGCAGCGGGAACCCTGCTTACAGATGCTGTCTTGGAAGAGGAGGCACAGGAGTTAGCCATCACTGTCCCGGAATTCCGAGATTACATAGTTACATGTACTGATGGAGTGATCACTGATGAAGACGTATCAAGTGTGCAGTCAGCACAGGCAAGCATATCTGCATGCGGCAATGACAACGAAGATGAAGAAGATGTGGACGAAGATTTGGAACCAATTTCCTCTGCCAGTGAGGTGATAGAAATGCTACAAAAAATCAACGGTATGGTTCTTTTGTAGGGGATGAAACTGTTTTAGACAGCATAAATAATATTGAAGCATTTGTTTTCAAGCAGACTGTTAAAAGCAAAAAGCAACAAAGCATTTTAGACTTTGTAAAGAAACCATAGTAACCACGTGTACGATACTTTTCAGAGCTGTGTCAGAGCGAAATTACTTGTGAATTTAATTTTGACACTGGTTAGCTTTTTGTAAGAATAAACTACACCCCGCAGGTTTTTTGTGATTTTGTGAGCGATCTTTGTGTTTGCAATGTTGGATGATATAATTAAAGGCTTCTATCGAGAATCGACGGTGGTTTTTATTGTATACTGGTAAATCTCTGCTGTTAGTTGGTGCACATATGACTTTTGTTGTTAACCAACATGTATGTACATTTTTATAGCATGCCGATTGCGTCATCAAAGAAATCGCGGCAACGCTGTTGTGTAAAAAAATACCAAAAACCTGTGCATGTACATTCTCATTTATTAACGCACATCATGTACATAAAGAAATTTCAAGCACATGTTAATATATCACCGCCATATTGGTTTTCGGTTATCTCGATCATCGGTTATCTCGACGCTTTTTGGCAAACCCCTAGGCCGGCAACATAACCGGGTTCAACTGTATATACTTACATAGTTACATATGCTGTTCAACCGAATAGTTACTTTAGCATTAGTTCAAATACAAGAACTCGTGGCCATAGGTGGAAATTAGTGGGAGAACATTTCAAACTGGATTTAACCCCCTGGGGCCTGAGGCCTTTTTTCCACTTTCGAGGTAGTCTGACAT